GGGCTGAGCTGGCCACACACACACACATAAATAAATAAATAAAATTTAAAAAAAAAAATAAAATCCACTGTCTACATCTTATATCTTTCACATTTTAATAATGAGTAAAAAAAATAAGTTCAATCACTAATTGTCAATGGTTTGATCATTTGTACACACAGAACCTCCATAAATAAATATAGAACCTCCAAAAAAACCTTCTGGGCCAGTGGAGAGGGTGCTTCAGTGGCAGAGGCATGCCTGGTGTACTGGAGACCTTGGGTTGTGTCTCCAGCACCATCGAAAACAAAAGGATACAATCGTAATGCCAAAGGAAGACAAAAAAAATCTCTATACAGTGAAGTTTGAAGAGCAGCTGGTTTCAATACGTGTGTGTGTGTGTGTGTGTGTGTGTGCGCGCGCGCGCAGAAGCCGCTATGCTCAGGCCCTTTCTAGACCTCATCCTTTATATTTTTCATCTGGTGCTTTGCTTGTAGCCTTAGTAATCAGATGGTAACAACAAGTACAGGGATTTTTTTCCGAGTTCTGTGAACCAGTCTAACAAACTATCAGGCCAAAGGAGTGAATTGTGGGAAGCCTTGGATGTCAGCTAGTCAACGGAAATTCAGGAGGCTCAAGACTCATGATTGGTGTGAGGAATATAGAAATGTGTGTACAGGAAGATGAGGGTGGGGTGGACTGAGCCCTTAACCTGTGGAGCTTGCGTTAAGTCTGGGTAGCTAGTGTCAGAGTTGAAATGAATTGTGGGACACCCCATGAATACCTGTAGTGCTAGAGAAGTGGTTGGGCAGAGGAAAGACCATTTGATGTCAGCAGTATTGTGGGTAAAAATGGTTCTTACCATCCATATTCCTTGTTAAGTTTTTCCCACTTCTAAATCCATAACTTTTTCTATAGAACTTTCCTGTTCTTTCCTTCAACTAACCTAGACACAGCTATGAAGACTGGCATAATTTGTGCTGCTGGATTAATCAAGGAGAGAATTCAGTTTAGAGTTGAAGGTGAGTGGTAGTTAGCCAGGCGAAGGCTATGTGAGGACTTGTAGACCTTTGTGATCTTCTGGATTTTGTCCTAAGAGTAATCAGGAAGGGATGCTAGAGGTGGATTGTCAGCATCAATGTGACAAAATACCTGGCAAAAACTGTGTAAAGAGGAAAGATTTATTTTGGATAATGATTTTGGAGGATTCAGTTCATGGTAAGTTGGCTCCTTTGCTTTTAGGCCTATGATGCGGCAAGAAATACGATGGTGCAAGAGCATGGGAGAGGAAAGCTGTTCATTTGATGATAATTAGGAAGGGGGGGAGAGAGAGAGAGAGAGAGAGAGAGAGAGAGGAGAGAGCTAGCTTTGCTGGGGAGCTTTTTCTGCTTTTATTCCACTGCAAGTCCTCAGCCTACCAGATGGTGCTGGCCACACTGAGGGTAGATCTCCCCCTCAGTTTGCTGTCCCATATGCAGTCATTTCTGGAACACCTTCACAGACTTACCTTCACTCATTTTCTAGGTATTGCTCAATCCAATCACAGTTAACAGTCAAGATTAACCATGGATGGGAATCGGTGATGATTTCCATTTTTAAAAGAAGGGACAGGAGGGTAAATGCTGGAGAGGTAATTTAGCACTGATACACACGGGAAGAAGAGGACAGTATGTTCAGATATTTGGAGACAGGGCCTGGCTTCAGGGACCATGTGGTGTTTTTTCTGTCAGAGGGAATCCTAGAGAAGACTGGTTGAGGTGAAAAGAGGAAGAGAGGGGTGCTGGGAGGTGGTTGGGTGTAAGGGTCAGTGGCTTAGCTAAGGGAGTCAGCACCTGAGAGTGGTGAACGGAAGACATACAGGCCTTGCCCCAGGAGAGGGTACAGAGCAAGGCGAGCGGGACAGCACCTTGAGGCAGTGCCCAGTGACGTGTGCAATTCCTAAGTCAATTACCTCTGCCTCTGTTTGGGAACCTTAATAAAATTGTGGATGCAGCCAACTTTGCAAATCTGGATGGGGCCAGCTGAACCCCTAGACATTCATCAGCCTCCTGAATGTGGACCGAGCTCTGCGGGGCCCTCTGTTCCTACCCTTGCATGGAGAGAGAAGATGAGGCTCGAGGTGAAAACTCCTTGGAGACCAACCATCAAGAAAGGTCTGTATTTTTTCTGTGTTTGTGGAAATGTGTTGGGATAGAAATGGATCAGTCCCAAAACATGGCATAGAAATGGTGGCAAATTAAATAAAACTTCTCATTTGGAAACAGTTTCAATATTATAGACAACATGCACCCAAAAAAGGCAGTACAAATACATCTGT